AAGGATGGAAGGCTGAGTCAACCTTGAGCCGGTGAGATTTGAACCGCTGAACTGCAGATAACAGTCAGCTGAAGTGGCCTGCAGTACTGCACCCTAACCACTGCGCCGCCTCGGCTCCTTAAATGTTCCTTTGTATCCAGTCTTCCATCCCCATTAACTCCTGCACCTCTACAGGAAAACTTTGCAAGATGCAATAGCAAGACAAGTGTCACGACAAAGAAGTTCACAGGAGACCTTTGGCCCAAGGAACTAATTAATAGCAACTTTCTTTCTTGAAAGGGCCATGTGATTCTAAACTGAACTGTTAAGTTTGGCTAGTGGGTGGGTTATACAACACAGTAACTGAATCCTCAATTTACAAAATCTGGTGGTTGTATTTACATCACATCGCATACTTCAACAAATCTTACAGCTTGATGTAATGGCTCGGTTCATACGTGTTAAAACAAAAGCTGTGATTCCCACAACATGCTGGATGACAAAGTACCCAACCAGTGGTGGGTTCCGGATCCCGTTGCAACCGGTACGCTGCAATGTGGGTGGGCGTCCACCACGTGCATGCGTGCTGTGCGCGCATGCACACCCACTGTCCTGTGACGCTCCAGCTGCTTGGCAGAGCATTGCACAGGCACCGTACGCTGAATGCGCAGCTGCAAATGGCCCGGTTGGCTGAAATATAGGGAAGGAATGTGGGTGGGAGGTGGGCCCTCCGAAGCACCATTCCGGTACGGTGCTTGCTGCTCCCAGCAGGCACCGGTACGCCCGTACTGGGGCATACCTGCTGGAACCCACCACTGTACCCAACCCAGTTTTAAACTAGTTTAGTATATTGTTTAAATCCAATTAACCAAAGTTTTCAGTACATATTTAGGTCATATCCTCCTTGCTATAACAAGAGTCATATGGGTGTTGAAGCAGGATGATCTGTGTGTATTCTATCAGGGGAGCTTTATGTGCAGTTGTGCCTGCCCTGAGATGCTCTCTGGATATAGCAAAAAGTCTAAATGCAACAAGAAATGTGACTGCTAATGGGAAACCATCAATGAGTAGTCATACAGACTGTGACTGGATGGGGAGCTGAAACCCCCACATCTTAACATTGTCAAGATTGGGAAATCCTGGTTTTAAATGGATAGTTTTATTTTCGCAGTGCCAATTCCCTAGGAATTCTAAGAAGAAACACTTATTTATTTGAAAACAAAATGAACACAACACTGCTGTGATATCTCCATTCTTGGGTCATGATACCTGCTTTATTTGGTGTGAATTTTAGTTCTCATGCTGCTTTGGCCTTTTGGTTACCCAGAGGGTGGCACTCACATGCAATGCAATTCTATTTGTCACCAGTTTCTCAGGGGTTTTGCTGAAGAATGCATGAGTCAACAAATGATGGAAAAGGGGAGAAACCTTTAAATTACAACGGAACACTTACTTAATGTTTAGCACTTAGAGTCTATGGATGTAATAGACTGTAAGTGCTAAGAATGTTGCTTTCAGAATTGAAAAGAATTGTTTTATTGGAAACAAACAAAATAATTGTTTTGTGGAAATCATGGACATAATTCTGTTCCATTCCAGAGAATTTAAAATCCACTGATTTCAAGTCTGTATTAGATAAGTATCTTTGGCCATGTTTCAGAGATGGAACTATGCTTCACTAACGACCTCTAGAAAACACTAATGAGATTTAACACCAAGGAATGTCAGTAATTGCCAGGAGAGGCTCATGATCAAAGGTCTTTTAGAACATAGGTGGATTCTACAATCTCCCCTTTTTCCACACATTTTAATTAGTCCAACACAATTACAATAAAGACTCTTTTACAGTAACATAAGGCTTTTTCTGGACCAGTTTTGACTGGCTGGAAAAGAGCCATTTCATGAAAAAATAAGCTGTTTGCTGCAAACTAAGCTTAATTTGCATGATTTATTGCTGTTGCAGGGCATAAATTTAATTACAAACACACTTATCTGCACATCCCATTATTATTACTTTATATGTGTATGTGTATATGCACACACACACACCCCTCAGCCACTCTATGCAGTTGATAAAATACATTAAATTCATCAAAAAAGCAACAGATATAAAGCATGGAAGCTAAAGCTTTTCAATTAGAAAGCCTGGGAAAATAAATATGTTTTGAGTCCCATCTAAACTGTAGCAAAGAGTGGGCTTCATTTAATCCATAATATAGAATTGTGGCCGTGTAAGGTAGGTAGGCAAAATAACATTCTTTGTTGGCGTTTACAATTTGCATATTTGTGTGCAGATGATTTACAAAGGCACAGGTGGTTTTGCTGACTGTGGGGTATTGTAGAAAATAATAAATAATGTGGGATTATTGCAACATGGAGCTGCATATAAATACTTTGCAAGCTTTAGTTATTATAAAATATGGTAGCAAGAATATGGAACGTCTGTAATATTTTATCAACAATGCATCATCTTCATTCATTCTGGTTTCATTTCCAGACTCAATTCATAGTTTTGGTTTGGGCTGCTGTATTAGACTAAACAGGAAAGTCAAAAGCACCCTAGAAGGTGACAGTGGCAAACCACTTCCATAAGTCTTGGAAGTTTTGGGCGTGCAGGAAGAGAGGGTTTTTTTCTCCTGTCGTTACCCCCACCTTATGGATCATTCTGCCTCCAGAAGTGAGGTTGACCACCACTCTTCTGGTTTTCTGGAAAGGTGTGAAGACCTTGTTCTCCCAACTGGCATGGGGATTGAAGAGTGGCATGCATTCCTGGGGGGTGTTTGGTAGCTTGAGGGCACTCCCTCTGCCTTTTAATTTGCTTTTTAACTCTGTTTTGAATTGTATTTTGATATCTATATTAAATTGTGTTTTGAACTGTGTTTCATGGCTTTTATTTGTAAATTAGAGTCACTTGGACAGTGAGGTGGATGGTGTCTACATTTGATAAATAATAAATAAATACAAGAAAATTAGATAGATCTACTTGCTCATTAAATGACTAGGAGTGGCGCTGACATTGACGGACACTTTTTATCTGAAAGGTTATCTGTTGCCTTCCCCTGATCTCCTCCACATATCTTCTCATACTGGAATGCAAGAAGTTGTCAGTTGTGGTCAAGCACTCATGGGACACAGTTCCCAGATAAACCCAACTAGTGCCTGACTAGTATATTTTTTAGTGAGAGACAAATTCTTCTCAGCTCATATTGTCAACTTTTAAAAAACAATTAAATTGACTGATTATGCTTGTTATTTTGTGGGGCTTTTTAAATAGTTGTGTTTACCTGCTGCCTAATTTTACATTAAAATGGTTTCTTTCCTGGGGGGGGGGGAATGGAGGAAAACCGCTTCTTGCATTTTGTTTTTAGTAGTCGGTAGTTAACATATTTTAATTTGTTTTGCTTTGAGATGATTGATTGTACTTTTCTGGATGTGGCTTTCATTAGATTTTAATTTTTGTGTCATTCATATTTATACAAAGCACCCTGAGAATAATTTGCTTTAGAGAAAATAATTCATTGATATAAGGATATTATTATTTGGTGAAGGTTCAAGAATTATACTCCATCTTCCCTGGATATTTGGCATTTATCAAGAAAGCTTCCATTCTTCTGCTGAAATGTCAGCTATGGTTTCAGTCCGCTCCTCATATATTGAAAACGAGGTGAAGTCTTATGAAGTTTGGAGCTGCACAGTATATCCTGCAGTGGTAGGTTTCAAAAATTGTTCGAACCTACTCTGTGGGTGTGGCCTCCTTTGTGGGAGTGGCTTGCCGCCCTTGTGACCGGATATGAAGATGCCGACGACACTTGTCAGAACCACCTTAAATTACCTCACACACAGCACTGGCATGCATAAGAATATGATGTAAACTTCTTTTTTAAAANTATATATATATATATATATATATATATATATATTTATTTATTTATTTATTACAGGTTGATACAATAAGTAGTAATCTTATATATTAGTCTTCTAATCGATAAACACAGCTGATACAGCCTTCGTAGTTTTATTTATTTTAGTGTAATGAATAAAGAAATCAATCACTTTTAAGTTGCATAATCCCATAACTTTGTTCTGTTTCTTAGCTCTGATTTTGAGGGGAAGGAATCTGATCTTGTTCCTTATGTCTACTGTCAGGAAGGCCTCGCCCGAAGAAGACTCAAGCAGGACACATTTGGTGATGGGCAGAGAGTGGAAGGAACTCTGGATGGCAGCTAAAGTTTTCTCTGTTTGGACTGCATTCTCAATCAACTTATAGAAATTGAATAAACAAACACATAAATCATGAAACAAAATTATATCAACTCAGAATTCTGGGGTGTAACCACAAATCAGTTGGAGAAAGTTTTCCTCTCTTTCTTGAGGTACTACAAAGTGAACACCGTATTATATTTTTCATAGAAGGAAGCTAAGGCCTCATTTCCAGATTCAACCATAATGAAATATAGGTAGTCCTTGACTTACAACCATTCGTTTACTGATCACTCGAAGTTACAAAAGCAATGAAAAAAGTGACTTTTTAAATCCTTTTTTAACCCTTATGGCCATTGCAACATCCCCATGGTCACATGATCAGAATTCGAACGCTCAGCAACCGGCTCATATTTATGACCGTTGCAGTGTCCTGGGGTCATGTGATCATCTTTTCTGACAAGCAAAGTCAATGGTGTTAAAAGTCGTGTGACTAACTTAATACCTGCAGTGATTCACTTAATAACTGCGGCAAGGAAGGACATAAAATAGGATGAAATCCAGTTAAATGTCTCACTTAGCAACATAAATTGTGGACGTAAGTTGAGGACTACCTATAAAAAGAATATAAACCACATGTAATGAGAGACGAAAGCGGCTGAGCTTCACCTCAGGAGATCTCTATTAGTAGTGTCATCAATTCTGGTTTACTATTTTTAGAGTAAAGAAAAATCCGATACAATCAGTTCTTCATGCTGGATCTTAGGAACAGAATAGTATTGTAGTATAATAAGTAAGTTATTAGTAAGTTATTTTACCAATTCAGACCAAAGACTTGAGAAAATATAAACAGAAAGTACCTGAAATGTCACAGGTCTGCTTGTTCCTTGGTGAGAATGGTGGTGATACACTATGTCGGTAGACAATATGTGGCTTTTTATGCTGTTCTTCATATTCTTCTTGATCAGGTGGTATGAGAGGCTCTACAAAGTATTCTCCATCATGAGACCTAAATGTGCCTAACTGAAAAGGAATGAAAAATAAATGAAGCCACCAAAGTTTAACAGAGGTTTATAAATCTTCTGCTGAGAATTGTAGCTGTTTCTCAGACTCACAAGGTATTTTTTTTCTGGTTTCCCTTTATATGTTTGATCGTTCCTAAGCTTCCTGAATGTCAGCTCTTTTTGGGGCCAAAGTAAAGGCTATGCTCCCCCCAAAAAAACGGGATGAAGCCACAAAATTACTTTTACTTCCTCATGAAAATTAAATCAAGTACATTCAAGTTGATATAATTGCTCCCATATGTGTAATCATTTTCCCCTTGGATGACAACAAAATTTTAATTTGATAGGCTACTTCAGGAAGGCTCTCACACCTGCCTAACCAAGTAGAAAACATGACTACCTGTGGTTTCTTGAATGTACACTCAGTTGCCAACCTGAGTTGACCTTTACTTAAAACAGGTTGCAGTGGTTGGTCACCTTTGGATGTGCAAGTTTGGTTAGTACTTGCACTGGAGACTTCCAGAGAGCTATAATATCAACCTGGGAACTTGACGATGTCAACTGGAAGAATGCAACAGCAAACCACTTTTGTATTGCTGGAAAGTTAGCTCAATGGCTCTGTCCATGAAGTCACCAGCAACCAAGCACAATTTGAAGGAGACATACAGTTTTTTAATGCCAGCTTGTCCAGCAATAAGGCCTTCCAGACACTGCCACAATCCCACAGTATGGGAGAACACGCCGCAGCCAACTCACCATGGCCAACTTACCACAGCCAACTCACCATGGCCAACT